TCTTTCTTTTCTTTGAACAAGTCGTGTCATCCTGAGTCTCCTGACTTTTTGAAAAGGGATGACTACCATGTTGTTTGGTTGATGAGGGATAACCGTTATGGTATCATCATCGTTTGATTTCCTAATTTGTGAAGGATAACCATCATAGTTGATCCTTAGATTCATAATCCTAATGAGATTAGAATGCTCGATCAAGTTAACTGAACATTACCCTGCCCCTGGGTTAAAATGAGGGATTTTTCTGACTAGAAAATAAACTGACTAGAAAAGCATACAACCAAAGATTTTTGCATTTTTCAATTGTTATCATCCTCCCTCCAATATTTTCCTAAGCAATAAACTTCAGTAAAGTTGGTATCATAAATGCAAGAAAAACCTTTCATGAGTGCAAATAAGTGGATGAGTGAAAATGAATGGGTTACTTCAAGACAAAAATAATCATTGCATTAAAGTTAACATTCAAAAACTAACAAGTTTATATATGCAAGCAATGTTTAAACAAAGAAACAAAATTACAGATGAAAATGCAGTAAAGAAAAAATGATTTCCATTATTGAGGAAACTTGACTCCGTATAGACTTATTTATTCTAAAGACTTTCTGCAGTCTTGATGCTCACTCGAGCAACGGATTCTCGTTCTGATCTAGCATGAACACAATGTTCTTTAAACTTATCTAATCTTAGACCTTATCTCTGAATGACATACCATCTTCAACCGAATGACCAAGCGCCCCAGGATGATATTCATAGAGGATTCTCTTAAAAGATGGGATGAATGCTTTACCAAGCGTATTTTCATAACCTGAATCACCAAGTATCTTCTACTTCACAGAAGAAACATGATAAAATGTAGAACTTGACCTTTGAGGTGTTTTCTTCTTCACAACAACAAGTGATCAGGAGACGAATATCCTCTTCTACACAGAAGAAACCACTTCATCTTCTATTACATGAAGGAGCTACTCAGAAATTGCAATCAAAAGCATCTTCTACTACAAAAAGTAAGCAACCAAAAACTGCACTTGAGGATACCTTCAATCTCATCTTCTAATACACAGAAGAGATAACTATGTAACTGAACTTCGAGATATCTTCTACTTCACAAAAGAAGCTCCACCTTCTACTATATAGAAGAAATATTCAGCTGGGGAGAAAGAGTCTGAAATAGTTTTCCAAGCAGGAATTGTTCTTTGGAAAAGATACCAGATAGGTGTTGGACTTTGTACTTCACTCTCTCGCGGTCCTCAATATCATGACCAGATGCCCCAGAATGGAACTCACATCTAGCAGCATTAACATCGAAATCAGAAGTGAGGTTTATGGGGGAGAGGACCCAAATTATGAAACTCAATCAATTGGAATTCCAATAAAAGAGGAAGTAAGTAGCCATATGGAATTGGAATTGGGTCAACCTGATGCTCAGGCCTCTTTTGTCTTTGTTGATAGGCCTTGCCCCATGGTTTCACTTGGGTAACAAACATTAGTTGCGGACAAGGAGACCCATGAACACCAAGTTGTGGGAGATATCTATAAAATACCTCGTTACTTGGAATATATCCCACAAGATGTGGAATACTAACAATTCCTGTTGCAGCAGCAAGTATATGATTACCTTCTCTTTTCAGTATTGATTTCAGCATTTCCATGATCGAACTTAACTGAGTCTTCAACTGGTCATTTTCCTCTTTCAAGAGTTCCTAATCACAAGGTTGAACCTATCAGGTTCAAAAGCTCGATACTATTTCTGAATAATTTGAACGCGAAAAGATCAAAGGTTCGACATTAACTCAGATTACCAAGAAACCAAGTCTTAATATCATAAGATCAAAGTTCCGACGCTAATTCGGAACACATCAGAACCAAGCCTTAATATCATAGGATCAAAGGCATTAATTTGGAACACATCGGAACCAAGTACCATGAAGATCAACATTTGTACCTGTAATAATATTCCCTCCCCTCTCACGGGTAAATCTGGTCAAAGTAAGGTCAAGGGATACACAAAGTCATGAGTCCATGAGGAAAGTATAATCGTAATGGAGGTAAGTAAGACGATAATATCCTCAAATGAACCTCGTTTTCACGTAATACTTCATAATCGCACGGTGGGGCCTAAACCCCATGCATCATGAACATCTACTTTAGTCCTATGTGTTCCTAAGTGTGTCACTTTGGCCAATGTATTTAGCCATTTACCTCAAATAACATCCCACCCACCAAGAAATTAAAAGGACAACAACAATATATAACTGTATATGGAAAGAAATAAAAATGAAATGCAAATATAACAAGTAAGTAAATAAATGCAACACATAAAACAAATAAAGCATATAGATAAACACCCAATGAATATAAACACACAAGAGCTAAGACTGACTCACTTAGGTTTCTCCAATAAAGTCGCCAACTGAAGCAACTAGAAAAATGAACAATGAAGTCGTCATCAAATGTTATTTATCCCGAAGAAGGGAAAGTAAAACATCTAGTAAATCGGAGAGAAAAACAAGGTCTTACGATAAAGAGAAGGATACGAGAGTCGATTATGCAAGGGGAAGGTATTAGCACCCCTCACATCTGTGGTACTTCATGGGATCCACTCTTGTTGTTCTTATCAAAGGGTGTGTCTATCTAAAGCTAACAAGCTAAGGAAAAATGCATGAATACAAAGTATATACAAAAAAAGAAAGTTTTTATTAGCTGTGCCCGCTGCAGTTGTGAACCTTTGTGCCTACGTACCCCTTTCGTGCAATAGGGGATCAGGGCACTCGTAATTCACCTCAAAAGTTTCTGTTTATTTGTGTTTTTTAATGAACGATATTAATTTCGCATTCTACTGCAGATCGACCTTTGAAGACTCAATGCCTTGTTGTAGAAAGTAATTAACATATTCTGACCTGAAAAGGTTTTCAAAAGAAAAGCCCGAAGGTGGCCCGCAGGCAAAAAGATTTGAATTGGTTTAGTCTTTTTTACCTTAAGAAAGGATTTAGTGATTTGAACCATGTTAAAGACTATGATTGAAAAGGAAGTACAAGGTTTGGAATGCATCCCTCTCATACTCCCCCCCCCCCCTAAATGCTTAAGGCTCGTGCCACATGGTTCACATCATTATTATTATGTGTTTTCACAATTTGATTAAGAAAAAGAGTTTTAGTTTTAATGGATGTAAAAGAGAATAAAAAATCTAAGAGACATTATATTCCTAATGTTATCATACAATGATGGCCCTATAGTTAAGATAAAAGAAATTCTACCTAATGTTAGCATGATTGGTTTAACATCCTAATGTCTACCTCAATTCAAAGCTTAACTAAAGTTGAATCAAGAAATCCTATGGGAACATGGTATAAAGCACAAAGATAACAACCAAAAGTAAGTATCCAATGCTTAGCAAAGTATCAAGACGACAACCACACAAGTGCACATATAAACAATGCCTACTTCGAGGTAGGACTTTTAATAATCAAAATCACCTACTTCAAGGTAGGTCTTTAAACAATCAGAAATCACCTACTTCAAGGTAGGACTTTAAACAAGCAGAAATTACCTACTTCAAGTTAGGTCTTTAAACAATTAGAAATCATTTACTTCAAGGTAGGTCTTTAAATGCAACAACGCTATGCCACAAACATGGTTTCGCAATGCCTACATGGGTAGGTCTTTTGTCATGCATTTCTATCTTACTTCTCATGGCAAGTTTAATTGAAAGCGATGCAACTAATGAGGAATAAAATTGAGATTCGAGCGGTACCTAACGGAGAAAGTCGGTTGCTTCTTTAAAGCCGCGCAAGAGATGAGAAAACTCTACCAAAAGCCTCCTTGAATTTTTCTCAACGGAGATTGCATTCTTAGTTAGCTTCAAAACTTCTCAAACCCAAGTCTCTTTTTATTCCAAAATCTCACACAGGATTGACATAAAAATCTACCTAAAAAAACATGGCTAAAATAACAACGAACAAAGTTAATAAAAGAATTAAAAATCTATTATAATATTTTTTTTTTGCATTTTTATCATGTAAACAATTAAGCAAAAATCATGAAGAAATAATACAAACAATTGTTAAAAAATAAAAATTGGAAAAACATGAATTAACAAGAAAATAGCACACGAATGCAACAGGAGGTACAAGGCATGGATCAGGGTCTAAGACTCAGCAACAAAATTGGGTGCTAGGGCCCAGATCCAGAAGATTCATTAGCATTCCTCTTGTAACACAAACAGGCTTCACGGAAAAACATGGGCCAGAGGGAGAGGTGTGAGCAGCGAATCGATCCAAGGCCCATACAAACTTCATCTCAACATCATCAGATTTTAGATTCTATTAACAACATTATTTATTTATATTGAAAAAACGAAATTCAAGAAATTAAAAAATAATTGAAACGATGCAGTTTTGTAAAAGAGACAGGGTTAAGAGTTATGTGGTTGTTCAGCTTCCTCTTGAAATACAAACATCCGGTAAACTTCCTCTCTCATTCTAACGACGACGCTTTTTCCGATTCACCACCTCTTTCATCCGTTTAACCTTCCTCCACCTCAATCTTTGAAGATAATGAATGATGAAGGTGATAAATTCCAAGAGAGGAAGATTCGGCTATGGTGATGTAGAATCGAAGATGATGAAGAAGTTCTTAGAATTTTTATGGTGATTGTTGTGAAAAATTGATAAAGATGGATGAAGATTTTGAGAGAAAGATGAGAGAGATTTTAGAGTTTCTTGGTGTTGATTCTTTTGCAGATAAATAATGATCTCAATCAAGGTGAATTTTCTGTGTTTTTTGGTAAATAATGAATCGTGAATGAAATCCTCCCTTTTAATCTGAATAACAATTCTGTTACTTCAGCAGCGTAAGTTTGTTATAGAAAATTAGATCTGAACCCTTGAATCGAAAGTTAGTTAAAGAATCTGGATGGCTAGGTTTGAATTTGTGATTTCCTGATATTTTACCTCGGTTTTGAATTCCTGATACTTTTCCTTTTTCTTTATGCACTTGCTGTTATTTTAACTCAGATGATAAGCTATCGAGTTTAACTCCTCTTTTCGTTTTATGAAATCCTGACCATTTATTTTGTTTGGCTTGAGCTGATATAAGAAAGTTGCAAAGCACGGTTTTATTGAATTTCTTTTTTTTTGTTTGTGCTTTAATGATTTTCTTCGGTAACTTCTGTTATTTTTGCAGGGCATGGTTCTTTGGAAACATATCAGTTTGAGTTGGTTTTGTAGAATTGAAACTCAATGGCAGCAAGCACTGAATCATGGATATACCGCGCACGACATTAGCGAGGCATGGGGTTGATGTTGCATGAAGACTTGGAAGCATGACATAGCTATCTTGGCAAAGCATTGTGCATCTTTAGGTACTTAAGATTTAGGTTTTGTAGAACTGTAACTTATAATTCTTTCCTCGGTGGATTTTGAATTTTGAACTTGATTTCAAATCATGCCTTTGAATGATGAACTTTTAAGATCTTGAATGAATAATATTGTATGCTTTGAAACCTTGATTTTTCATCTTGAAGAAACGGTATTTGGAATTTGAACTTGACTTGTAAAATAAATTTGAATGATATTTTGGTAGTTTCTGGATGAACTTTATCTTGGTTTCGAATAACCTTGGATGTGTCTTTCACCTTTGTTCTAAAACCAAAATTCAAATAATTTTTATTGTAAACCTTTGTTAATCCAACTTGAATCTTCCATAACATTCATAGAGAGAAATTGAATCTTGAATGGGTCTTGAGAAAAGGTGAATGAATAATGAACACAATATTTATGTCTCAAGTCGAAGTAACTTGTATGTCAAGAAATTCATATTGAATAGATTATTTCCAAATTTAGTCATGAACCAAATTCCAACTTATGCTCTTGAATGAATTGACCTCATGGAATCATTTAAATGAAATCTCGTCTCAATTCTCCTTTGATCAAAACCGACCCAAGTTGCATTCTTGATGAACCTTTATCCTTAATTCCTGATCCAAATTAGCTTGCATGACAAACCATACGCATGTGAAAGAGAGCTGATGCCTTAATTTAAATGATTTCAATGATGTCTTTGGAAAACACCTCTACAATGCCACGCCTTGAGAAACCTTAAAGTAAATAATGATCTTGTGCTTAGATATCATAACCCTGATGACGATAATTCAATAATGCACAACCTTGAACGCCATCTCCTCCTTTTCGAATGAGGGGAACACAACATAAGATACTTTGATCTCATAACTATAAAACCAAATCATATGCATGAGTGTATGAGTGAAACATAAGCTAGTCATAAGTATAAATAAGAGAGAAAATTTTAGGGTGCAACACCTTTGTCTAGAAATTTGAGTCCCACTACTAGGGTTTGAAACCTTGATAACATGCTCTCAATAGTTTCATCTTCTTCTATCTTGAATGCTTCATATTTCTGAATTAAAGTTAACGCTTTAGTCTCCTTTACTTGAGCACTTCCTTCACGAGTCATCTTCAAAGAATCAAAAATCTCCTTAGCTATTTCTGTGTTGGTGATTTTCTCATATTCATTATATGAGATATCACTTAGAAGAATGGTTCTAGATTTATAATGATTCTTCCTTCTTCGTTTCTGATCTTCACTCATTTGAATCTTGGGAGTAGGAAGAAACTTTCTAGTTTGTCTTTCCAATGCTCAAATCTTTCTCCATCAAAAATAAGAGGCTTAGTAAAATAGTTATATTTTTTCTTTTGTGTTTGCAGGCGCATCTATATGATATTTTTCTCAATTGGATCTCTCTAGTTAAGTGTTTGATTTGTAAATCAATGAAGAACCGAAGTTCTTGATACCAATTGAAGGGTGAGAAAAACATAAGAAATGCGGGTTTGAATTGGGTTTTCTAATAAACATTTTCTCTACAAATATTTTACAAACTAACTAGAATTAATAAAGCTAAGGAAAGAATAAAATGACTCTTTTGGTTTATACAAGTTCACCTTCAACAAGGCTACTCTTGTCCATCCGCCAAGGTGATTTTTCCTTCAACAAGGACTTAATCCACTTATCTCAATAGATTAGAAATGCACGGGCTACCCGCCAGTGACTAACCATAACCGTCTAAAGTCCAAACTGACACCTTAGTCCTCTCAAATCTCATACTAACAATCTTGTCACTTGAGGTAATAATCAATTCTAACTAGAATGACAATTACACGTGTTGACAATGTTTGCTTCTAAAAAGAAGATTAACACAACAATGGAGAACAAAGTCTCTAATACAAATAATGAGCAACAACTCTTTTTATTTTGAGAACTCTAAGATAAAACACAAATAATGAGCAACAAATCTTTGTGTTTAATCCCTAATATATTGATACAATAACGAACAACAACTCTTGTTTTCCTGATAGTTCTCTAGAAGAATACTTATGAATGTATATGAATTGTGATTCTTCTTTTCTCTTGATGTTTATCATTATTTCAGCAATTTGATTCAATCTTGATAGTGTGGAATAGTTCGTCAACCTTCAAATACTGATGAGGTCTCTTTATATAGACTTTAGGAATAAGACCGTTGATAGTACGAAGACGTCTCTTTCACTTTCCAGTTAAAGTAACGGCAGTATTTCATTGTGGGAGACAACATAGTATAATACGTAAGTGCTGCACCCCAAAATTTTCCCTCTTATTTTCTTTAAGACATTCTCCTAGGGTTCTTAAATGCTCAAGGTTGCCCAAGATTTGATCAGACAAATTATCCTCCTAAGCAAATGGTCCACAACTAGGGTTTCATCTTTCATAAGGAAGTCTGGATCTCTAAAGTTTCAAATGGAATTCATGGTCTCTTATAGGTCTCCAAGAATGCTCATACCAAGTTTCATGTCTTGCATCATAAGTTTGCTCAGTCAATTGCTCAGATGACTGAAAATCAACTGTATTAAACAAAAAGTCAATTATGGTCAACATACAGTCAAACTTCAAGGGTTTTGGTTAAAGTTAGGGTTTTAAAGTCAAATTCATCAATTTATCAAAGGTTGATCATGATTCATCAAGAAAAACCCTCAAACCATCAAATGTCAAAAATTGCCAAATTAGAGTTTTCTTAGGAGAAGTCAGCTGAACTTTGATCAAGCATAAATTTCACATGCTTCATCTATTTTTCCCCAACCAAAGATCATTTTAAAGGAAATTCAATTCTCTACAATTTTGTATCTCTAAGCTCAAGTCCGAAAATGCTTCATTTGAGAGATATGAGCCAATACATTATAAATTATTTTAAAAGTCAACAAAAAGACACTTTTTGTCAAGGCAACTTACATCAAGATAAAGTCTGTAAATGTAAAAATGATAAAAATAGGAATTATAGAGGACACCCTGAGCTTTCCAAAAGGTCTAATATTACCTTTAAAAGATAAAAATTGAGTGAGTTATAACCAGTGCAAGTTGAGAAATTTTGAGCAAATGCATGAAGCTCAAATTGAGCAAACTCGATATTTTGGGCTTATGGGCCATTCTTTCAGAGTCCAAACATGTTTTGAAACTTATAATGGACTTCACATCTTACTCTTTCACCCTTTGGGCTTTTATTTAATCTATTTTGATTTTTATCCATTATTAATTAAAAATAAATTAAATAAATGTCAAATGATTGGACTTAGTCACATGGCTTTGGTCTTGGGCCAAATTTGAAGCCCAAAAAGCTCATGTACAACTAACAACTCGTGTAAGATCATGGAAGGCATGATTGGCTTAAAAATGAAAATTTCCATTCAAGATTGAAAAAAGAGATTTTTATCATAATGCGAAAAGATTTCATTCACTATTGTTGACCTAATTCCTTCTCATATATGTACTCAACAAATTCAAATCTAAGGGACTACAAATGCTGCCTCCTTGAACAACCCTAAAACTCACAAAATTTCAAGAACTAAGGCATAATCAAACACTGCCTTCCAGCGAGTTTCAGTCAACCACAATCACTCTATTAATTCCCTGAGACTTCCAGGAGTCATACTCAGTCATCCCTGAGGCCGTAGCACCCCAGATCTCCACAGCCACGCAACTCTGGTTGATGGATTTTTCTTGAATCCAAAATTACATGCCATGTGTTATTCATTGAATTCATGCATATATTCTTGCTCATAATAATGTTTAGATTCATTTAGACTCATCGTTTGCAAGTTTTTACGCATGAATGATGAGTTTCCATACTCATGCCATTTTGAATAATTCTCATCGAATCTCCTTTTGCAGCGTGATTCAGCCAAAGAAAACCATCCCATTGAATTCGCAGGGTTGAATTTAGGGGGATAGAGTCCCTTTAGAGGCCTAACGTGTGTTATTTTTGCAAGAACAAAAATCTTCTCACCGGAGAAGACGATCAGAGCTAGGGCTCCGGCGTCTCTCCGGTCTACGCGTTTGTGTTTAATATTTATTTTGTTTTTTCCACTAAAGATAATGGATGTATCACCACCCTAGTGGTAACGCGCTTGCCTCTAAGTCATTACTATGCCCATACGCGGGTTCGATCCTCGCGCAACATAAACTTTTTCATGTTTTCTGATTTCTGCAGATCAAGTGTGATACGCCGTATGCCTTAACGATTCACCATCAACCTATTCCATCATCAAATCTGATCATCACGGTTGACCAGAAGATCCAGCACCCCAGATCTGCACGCCTATGGTAAACCCTCCCTGGAGCAAAGCACAGGAGCATGCAGACTCCAGCCAGTGTATTGGGCCTCTCTTCTTTGGGCCTAGCGAATTACTGCCACACCCCCTCTGTTTGCTTCAATATAGGCCCAATCTCTATCTTTTTTTATATTTTAATTTTAACTATTATTTCTTTTTTAACATAATTATATTAACTTCCTTTTTTTAAAATTAAAATTAATCTAGACTTTTTTAGAGTTTTAATCAATTTTTTATTTTATTAATTAACTAATCAACTTTTTTTAATAAATAAATAAATTTATTTTTTTTAATCAAAGTTAACTAGGTTTTTTTAGGTTTTATTAATAAATTATTTTCCAATCTTAATTAGTTTTTAGGTTAACAAACCTTTTCTATCAAAAATTAAAATAAAAAAAAACAATTCCCTTTCCCTTTTCCTTTCGCTTTACGTTTTCGCGTATTTTATCATTTTTGCATTTTTTCGATTATGTAATTGCTCATGGTTTGTAATAGGTAATTAGGGTTTTACATTTTTCCCGTATTTTATTATT